TTTTTTAATAAAAATTTATTGAAATAATATAATTTTTAAATAACTTTTAATTTTTTAATAAGTTAAAGTACTATTCCATTAAATTTTACTCGAAAATAAACTGTTAAAGTATTATTTTAATCCTTTAACTTTTCACTTTGGCACCAAATTATCCCTCAACTTTAGAAAATATCAAAATTATCCTTAAACTTTCATTTTTGGTACCAAAATAATCTTTCTGTCAATTAAGTGACAGGCGACACGTTAAAATGCCACAAAATCACTGCATTTTTTTAATCTTAATGACGTGTAGATCCATGAGAGAAAATTTTCTCAACATGACATTTTTTTTACACATTAGATTATCAAACAATCATTGAAAATCTTGTGGGATCCACATGAAACTTTGTTCTCTTTTCTTAGTTTCAGTCGAGTTCACAAAAATGGCAGTGTTCTTCATTTCTCTTTTCATTTTCTTTTCAGATTCAAAATCCTAAACCTGCTACTTCTACAAAATCAAAATCAAATCAAGCTTTATATTACCATGGAATCTGTTGATCGAATATGTTGATTTGGTATTTTTTAAAATTCATACCAAATCTGGGTTTTCTCTCTCAAACTTCATCTTCTTCCTCTTTTCCTCCTTCGATAGTTTTCCCTCCTTATTCCCTATCAACCTTCCTCCTTCCTTTCCCTGCTCATCCTTCTTCTTTCTTCTTCTTATTCTTTCTTTCTTTCTCTTCCTTCTTCTTCCTCTCTCAAACCCAGATCTACGTTTTTCTCAAACCCAAATATTCATGTTTCATTCATAATATTCATGTTTCATCCATAATAGGCATCAAACTTAAAAAAAAAAAAAATCAAACTAAAATCAAGGGAAGCAGATCAGAATCTGAAAAGAGATACCCCACCCACAAGAAGTTCTCTCTTAATTGTTTCCCATCTAAGATTTATACCTAAGAAGCAAACAAATGCAGATCTGCAATTTTTCGGTACAAATGTCGATCTCCTTCCTCTACTCTTCTACCTTACCACAGCAAAATAGCAAAGCCCTCCCTTAGTCGCCTAAATCTCACCTAAAGTATGCTAGAAATCGCCTTTTTGCTCTCCCATCTCTTCCGTTGCTGTTTCTACAGAAATCACCAAGAACACAAGTTGGAAATTTCTGAGATTTTTGTCCCTTTTGTTCGGCTGTCACAAAAGAAATACAAGAGGTTTTCTATGGTTTTGAGTGGAGGAAGTGGTTGTTTGGAGGTGATTAGTGAAGATGATGAAATCGGAAAGATGATCTGGGAAGATGGTGACAAAAAGAGATCAAAATTGGCAAAAAGAATATATATATATATATATATAGATATATTTATTTTTGTGTGTGGCTGTCCTCCCAGATCTGGGTTTGAGAGAGAGAAAGTGACGCATCAATTGATCCTCCAAGTATCGTTGCAGCAACCCCACCTCACTTTGTTCCCCTTCATTATTGCACCCACACCCTTCCTCAC